AGACGATTCTGGAAAACCAGATGGACGCTAAAAGCGTCCTCACTTCAGTCGGTCGCCAATAACTACTCCGAAGTATAAATTTTTTTTTTCACGCTTTCATCGGATGAAAAGAATGACACTGGAGCCAAAGCGAGTGGGTGCTGAAAGACCCTCGAGAAATTTCATTCCTATTTTATACTTAGGCTTATGCTCCTTGTCTTTGATAGATTGAAAAGTGTATGCATATTTAATATTTGGCCCAAGGCTGAACACTTGAAGACAATGCTGGCGAGATTTCTGACCTCCGTGATCGGCCAGCGCCAAGCTTGACTTTGGTGCTGCAGCGAATCGTGGCGGTTCGAAATCTCTCCGACTTTCTTGACAAGGGCCCAGCTTAGAGCCCGTTTCACGCATGCAACACAATTAGCCATACATGTATTTTTTTTTAAACAATGTCGGTGACGTTTTGCTTTAGGCAGTGTCGTTTAACTATGAGAATGCGTGAGCTATCTTTTTATTACATTTCCGCTTGCTCCAGGCACGTGAACACCGCAGGGTCTAGTCGCTCCTTCTTCGCTGATCCTTCGCTTAGCTTAGCTCGATGACATGCTAAATGAATTTAGGAAACTAAAAAATCAGTGTACTAGGTCCTTAAGGCAAACAAAACATTCTTAATTTAATAATTTATTTCAAGGTCAACAAAGGTCGGATATTGTATGGAAAATATTGAACGGTCTACATAAAACAGAATATAACTTTTTCTAAACAAATGGAGGCTGCAAAGGTGATGGTTGGAGGTTGGAGGTTGCAGGTTGCAGGTTGCAGGTTGCAGGTTGCAGGTTGCAGGTTGCAAGTTGCAGGTTGCAAGTTGCAAGGAGTATGGTAATAATGATATATTAAGTGTTTACAGATATATCGACGCTGTTTTGCCACTGTAACGGGATTTCAGACCCCGTCAAGCTGCTATTAGCAGCTTTTTTCTGAGTGTCCTTCAGATTCTGGAAAGTAAACTAAATTAAAATTGAGATTGAAAATAACTTAGGAAATTATAGACCTACACTCGTTCTTTTCATATTCTTAAAAGGCTTAGAAAAATCATGCATCAAAGGCTATATGCAATCTGATAGAAATTTTCAAATATTACGCCTTGTCAATACGTATTTATGAAAGGTTGCTCCCCAGAGCTAGCATTACTGAATCAAAATGAATTACTTGCTGGTAGTATCGAAACAAAACGTATGACACTTGTAATAACTCTCGACTTTACAAAGGCTTTTGACTGTATAAATCATGAAACATTACTTACAAAGATGTACCTATATGGGGTACCTGGCATTGCTTTGCAGTTGAACAAGTGTTATCTTCATAATCGAGATCACTGTGTTGAAAAAAATCAGAATCGATCTAATATTCAGCCTCTAACCGCTGGGGTACCACAGGGCAGTATTTTGGGGCCGCTTCTTTTCAGCTTGTATATTAATAATTTGGTAAACATTGACGATAGTGTGAACTACATTATGTATGCAGATGAGTTTATATTTTTCAGCATTTAACACAGATCAAGTTATTATTAACGCTGAACTTTTTCTTAATAAACTACAAGATTGGACAATATCAAATTTCCTGCAAATAAATGTAGGCAAAAACAAAGGCTGCCCTTTTACATACTGAAATAAAAATTTTAGTTATATGTCTGTCCTTTCCCTTGCTTCAATCACTATTTATATATTTGAGAGTGTGAAAGTGTTAGGGGTAATTTTTAATCAAAACATGGTCTGGAACAAAACGGGCAGTATACGTGTAATAGCTCTCAAAACATGTGAGTAAGACATACATATATCGTGACATGATTCCCAGCCCCGATATGATACTCGTGTACAAACATATATTTTACTATCATTAAAAATATTGTTTCTTAGTATAGGGCAACAATACTTTCACATATATCAAACAAATACAAATTTTCTAAAAAAAGAGTGATTCGTAAATATACCATACTGCATTGAATAGTCAAACGAAATCATTGTTCGAAAAATTTAATATTGTACAAGTTATCAACTACTATAGTTACAAACTTGCCTGTTCATACAAAAAGTCTTTATCTCTTAACAATTTATTCCTTCCAATCTCCACCCTTAAATTCACGCAAAATACATACAATACTCGTTGTACGGATATATGAACAGTACTGCATTCCAGGACTAATTATGGCAATCAAATTATGAGATCTATAGTACCGCGTTTTCTAAACTGGTGCACCGAATTTAACATGAACATGTTGAGTTGGACTCGGAAAGAGGTGAGTTTTGTCTTTCTTAGATCTTTTCCTAGTTATGTCTCTGCATGCTAAGAGCATAAAGTGATTGTACGATTTAGCTTATTTTTTATTTGATATCTTTGATACTAATGCGCTGTTTGTTGGTAATTATTTAATGTTACACATATTGTGCGTGTATGTGTTGCTTGTCTCTGCTGTTATATGTATCTGGGGGGGGGGGGGGTGTTAGGTCGCACATGCTTGTCAAGCAACCACTGAGTTGCTTTTTTCCCGCCTTCCCTTCTCCAAGTGAGTGAAGAGAAATAAAGGATTTGAACTTGTAATTTGAATTTGAGGACAGCTATATTTTTCTAACTTGTGAATCTCAGCCAGCCCTGCAGCTGCACTACATCGGATGTCAGAAGCGGTACATGAAGAATGACCCCAAGACGTCGGGGGTCTTTCAAAGCTGCCACTCGACCAAACCGAACGCCGACATGCCAGGAGCAGGAGCGTCATCCCACAAGGAGCACAGGCATATGACTGGACGCCTGACACGACAGTGTCGCAGAAATAACATATTATAGAACCGTTTGATAAGAATCAAAATCATGTAACCAAGTGGAAATAGACATATTCAGTAAACTAATCAAATACTCATCATATTCACACACCAGCCTTTACTCTTTCAGAGTCAACATTACCCAGAATCGCGCTCTTTGCCACCGGTGGATCTTTTGAGAAATGTCGCTTAGACTCTGACACCCCCCAGCCCCTCTAGGCTAGCGGAAAAGGCTCACTTCTGGCAATGAGAACTGCACACCTTCAACCTTTTCTGAACATCTGGTGCGTCCGAAAACAAACTCCAGTGATGAGGATATATGTTATTTATTCTCATAATCCCTTTAAGGGACCTCGTTGGCAATGCAGAGAGCATAGTTTAAACTATGTCCACATGATAATAACATCATACCACACCGACATGAATGAGCGCAAAAAAGGCCCAACTACTGAGAAAAGAAATCACACTCGTAACAAGTAATTATTTCTGTGACTTGTGAATTACAAAGACGAACGCACCTCTGAGCATCTAGTGTATAAGTATGTGGTGATTCTGAACATGGGCATTGTTATATAGCAGGGCAATTCCTATACGTCCAGACGATACACACTCAGCAAAACCCCACCGAGCAATATTGACTGTCACCATGCTTTTTCTTTGGCGTAAAACACGTGATTAAATTCCAGTTCACGTCGAACGGCACTGCAGTACCCGAGCCCAATAGACTATGAGCCTGGTTCACAGAGCTTACTGACATAACATTCTTGTCGAATGCATGCCTGGACAGCATTGCCGAAGCGTGAAGGAATCATGGAATTAGCTCACTAGCGACAATGGTTGTAAAATGCAGTATACTCCGTTTCACCATAATTAGACAAACAGCGAAGGCTGCAGTCCCAGTTAACCAATACGAACGTTGAAGAGAACCACGTGACACCATATTATCAGAGTGATCTCCTTCTGCGAGAGTTTTCACATACCTTCACTCAGTCTTCCCGATTGGCTCGAGCGGGCTGTAGAAATCGCTCTTTTGACAAGTTATGGTGAAACAAAGTGTAGGCCTCACACACTTTTGGAAGAAGTCTATTGGAGAGACTGAAAGGAATGGTAGTCAACATGTTGCTGCCTCTTCGGTCAATTGGGACGAACACAAATCCAAGTTATTTTGTCAGAATAACTACAACAAGTAAATAATTAACCGACTGATACAATTAACTCGTTATGAACAAAATTACGTCTGCAATAAACCCTACCAAAGGGAAAAATGTGCAGTTCATTTTCCACTCTCGAATTGATTTAAATATAAAGAGATGTTTCTATGTAAAATGCCAGGGCTGCTTTTTTTTTTTTTTTAGGATTTTCGATGTTAAAATCATGGGAGAAACAACCATAAAAAATAAGTCTCATTACGGCAAGGTGAGGAGCATATAATACGAAGATTTCCTACTTGTCTTGTGAGTTGCAAGGGTATACTTGAATTGCCTTGTAAACGTTAGAAGTTAAATAGTTTCCGAATAATTGGCTTGAATACTTTGTAACAGTTCGCGTGCACGTCTCATAAGCGAGCGCAATATTTTCACACAAAACAAAGTACTGCGATCAAATGCAAGCTACTGTAATGACAGTACGTTATATAAAATTATTGAGAAGTCCGAAATTGTCGGCAAGCAGCGGCGCATCGCGACCACCGCGCACCGAACCAACTCGTGTTTACCAGTTCTGGGCGCTGCCATTGTACCGGTGACGTCACGTCACGTGAGGTCACGTGACGAGAAGTCACTTTTTTGTACAATGTGGTGACAACCGAGGCCCGTGTCGTACCTTCTAACTTTAGGTTTAAAATTCTAAACGGTGATAGAGTGCTGGCGAGCTGCTAATTAATCAACAGCTTGTAGACCCTGAGATGGGGAACGATAAAGAAAAAACAGACAAACACAACAAAACTTTCAAAAGTCCCTCTGCCTTAACCCCTCCCCCTCCCCCTCGTACAGGTGTTTTGCAGAAAGTAGCATGCTCATTTCAGCAGCGCAGTACATGTTTCGTACAGCTGCGAGCATTTGAGCAAAAAATTATAAACATTTGCTCTGTTGCAGCCGTATACGCCATTCGCGTAGTAGTAAACAGACTGCGCCCTCGTCGAAGCGCTCTATTCTTCGTCCAGGAGAGCGCCCGTGAGCTTGGAGTCCTATGAAGTGTACAGCCATGTCTAAGAAGTCGACTCGTACGGTCCAAAAAATGGCCTTGGCCGTTTCGTGTGCAGCAATTGTTGTCTCGCTGGTATATTTTGACTGGTTACGACCGCCACCTTTTTTCCCAACGCCAGCACCCGGCGGTACGCCCGAAGAGCAGGTAATACGGAGTGTTGTTGCTATGGTCACTCACACGACGAGAGCAGGAGGGAGGTCCCTCAATTTCCCGCCTTTCTAACGACCTTCCTAGCTTCAACAATGCTACAGCGTCTTGTGAGCCTCGAGCTTGCACACGCAGCTAAAGCACGGTGGAAGGCAACGGGAAGCGTGGTGGTGGCCTGGCATCCAAAGAAGCGCCCTGCCTTTCTCATCCTATTAGTGACTATAGTGTTCATTCCGATTTTAATTTCTTCTGCAGATATTACAAGTGTAGCCTCAGGGAAATCCTTTGAATGAACCTTTATTTATGCGCTTTCGGATTTCATATTTGTCGTAGACGGCATAAAAATGATAGTTTTGTTACGTTAAGATTATTACCCTAGAAAAGTTCTGCTCTCGTTGTTTAAAAGCGTGGATGAAATCGACTCGAATAGCCGCAACCCTAAAATAGGTTTTGAATAATGAGGACTTTTGGTAGAATGTAATAAAGAGCTTCGTGTTGACAGAAGTAGCTCGTGATGACTCTTCAAGCACAGATTGAGCACGCGCGCGCAAGGCCCGCAATTCACAGTGTATGCCATCTACAACGAGTATCGTTCTGCACTTCCCGTGTCTATTGTTAATATCGTGTTCTTTTTTTCTTTCCGCAGACTTCTAGGCGCAGCGACAATGACTTCGAGTTCAGGGCACGAAGAATCAGCAAAGTGTGTCGCACGTACCAGATGGCCCTGGCGGATAACAACAGAACCATACAAAAGCGCAACTTCGGCGATGAACGGTCCACCTTCTGCAACATCCGAGAATGTCCCATCATGATGGACCCCGTACGGAAAGTAGGCTACTGCTTCATCAGCAAGGTTGCATCCACCACAGTTAAGACCATCTTCGGGCTTCTGCTCAACATCAGCAACACGGGAAACACACTTAACAGCTTTCACAAGGCCTTCCATGAGCAAGTCCTTACAGTCTCCCCCATGACGTTTCTACAGAGGAGCAGCCAGGCGCGCTATACAAGGGCCATGTTCGTAAGGCACCCCTTCGAGAGGCTAGTATCCGCTTACGTGGACAAGGCGCTAGGCCCACGTGCTGGCAATGTCTATTTCTACGAAAAGTACTGGAACGACGTGCCTGGCGTTAGGGAAACGGGCCGGAATTTGACCTTCCCGGAGTTCATCGACTACGTACTGAATCAGACGGTGAACCAGATGAACTCTCATTGGGCTCCGTACTATGTGATGTGTCAGCCTTGTACCGTCAAGTACGAGGTGGTCGGAAAGCTGGAGACAGCAAGCAGGGACTTTGCGCTGTTCTTTGAAGCGCTGGATGTTCGGCCGGAGGACATTCCGCAGGAAAACAAAAGTGGCGACAACGTATTGCGCAAGTCTGCCCAAGAGTTTTTTAAGGAGCTTACTTTCCATCAGGTGATGCGTTTATATGAGTGGTTCTTCTTCGACTTCGAGATGTTCGGGTACGACTTTAGGGACTATCTCCAGTGAAAGTGTGCGCGAAACCAAAGGATGAGGCCAACATCTAAGAGAGTTCTTCAAGGCCACTGCTTCAACAAATCTGCAGTAGAAAAGCAATCACTCATGCCTGAAACCTATAAAGTTTTATTTTTCTTCAGATGTGTATTCAAAAGACAGAGTTACTGGATATTATATAGGTCTACACAACGTGTGTGTCCCAGCCACATAAAAATAGTGCTTCATATGTTGACGCATAACCTCCTGTATACTGATAATGCCTGCCCAATCGCCGGTTGCCAGCTATCACCACAACGGTGCGTCGCTTCCCCGTAAAAGACAGAAAATGTGAACGACGTGATGAAGCCTCTCTCGTGCGTTTTATTCTTGGCGCTGTTTTTGGCATTTATCATTGTTGGTGTGGGCAAGAACCTGCAGGGGCTGTCATTTTATTACGCCCCAAGCTACACCCGGGACCATGGAAAATGACTGAAGCTCATTTCGAGGAAAGAATGCGCCCCAATTATGCCTCCTGTCGCTCAACTGTATGCGGTAGGCACCTTTTTAAACGGACATTAAGGATGGCTAGTCTGGTACCCCTTCGTTCATCCTGCCGAGGCTTCACTCAAAGTCCAGCTTGGCTTAAGCCTCCCTAGTGTAGTAGCTGGATCAGACCATGTGTCCCTGCAGGTCCTCTTTGGGCGCTACTTGACTGGCTCTCAGCGTTTACCTGGACACATCTTTCTCGCGCACCTCGAGTAAGTGACGGGCGCCTGACGACAGGCACAATGCGTTTCTCCCTAACCTGTGCCCCGGCACAACTAACGCCTTCCACACTGCTTAGGTGACTTCGTAGAAGTTGTAACTCCGGAAGACCCTGGCCGTGGCAATTTGTCGTCACCTTCTGCTCTTCGCCTGGTCTTTGACTTCAGAATTAAAGATGCTCAGAGTTCTCTGTTTAAGTGAGTGAGTTTATTAAGAAAGTAAGGTTGCAAAAGAGGAAATGCGGAACGAGAGGTTAGCCTCTCAATGCGGGATTATATTTCTCGTGCCGCTTGGGAAGAGGAAAAACCATGAGTGGTTAAGAAGAGGAAGGGGCGGGCAACTGCCTGGGTGTTGTGTCGTGAGTCGCGATTAGAGGTCCGCGGCCTTGAGGAAATCAAAAATGGCCTGGAACACCGTAATCCTTGTCGTTCGTGGTCGTCATGGGAAAAGGAGATTTTGGGTGTCTTGGATACCGATGGTTATTTGCTCCGATTGTCTTTTGAAGATAACTCCTTGGTCGTAGAGCCACAATATAAGCTACGCTTAGAGTATCGGCAGTGTGTTCCCCGGTATTGTTGTGGGCGCCGCCATCTTGGTGTTTAGTGCAGAGCAGTCGCAACTGCCGATCGTCATGAATCGAAAGTCCGACTTCCTCAGCATTATATTCGGTTTTAGTAAGCTCATGGAATATTGGTGTGCTCTGTCGCAAACTGTTTAAACATTTCTAAAAAAAACGAAAAGCGTTTCTTTTTTTTTGTGTGTGTGATTTCAGATAGAGTTTTAGATAAGTCGCAACCGTAATTTTAACAAGCCAAATGGGTGAATATCATTACTCTGAAATGTAGCTTATTTAGTGGCGTACTGCGCGTTCTGAGCATACCCAAAGAATATGCTGCAGATTTTCTGCCACGTCACACTGAGGACATTTTTGGAGAATATACTCGTCGCACCAGGTGCAAACGAAAGTTGATGGTTGCGCAGCCAGTTCGTAATCTGTGCAATAAATATTGTTGCTTACTCGTGAATTTTTTTTTTTTTTTTTTAATAATGAGAGGTGATTATATAGAGCTCGTTTCTGGGTCAGGCTGATTGGTTAGCACCGCTTTGTGAGCGTTGTTTCTTGCACAGGTGTACGGGTCAATTGTTATCGTCGTGAAAGTCGTCGTGGTCGTCATTGGCAAGGTCATTCCATTTTTTCTTCCCGGGTACTCCTATAGGATGGGCTCCACTGAAATTGGGTGGTGTTTCCTTCATTTGCCATATCACACATAAGTTGGAAATTTTTTTTCGCGAGTGGTCTTGCCTTTTTTTTTAGTTTTGAAGTTTTGATAAGGCCCTTGAGTTCATCGAGATCACAAGCTACTCGTTCTTGTTATATTCTGATTTTTTGGTGAGTGCCAGCCCCATGGCGTCGTTGGCGTTGCGGGTTGTTGAAATTCCCTCGCGAGTTCATGTGGGGCGTGACGTCACACGCGGGTCGTCACATATAACGTCACACATGGCTGTGACGTCACGTGTGACGTCACAGTTGCGTGACTTCTGCCAAAGGTTTCCTCTAAATTAGGCGAGACATTTTTCCGCTACATTTGAAGAGAAAATTACACCCCTGTGACGTCACACGTGAGGTTACGTGCGACGTCACATGTGACATCATCAGGTGCATGTCGAGTTTTTTCCGTCGCACTGACGCCGGCGCCGACGCCGACGATGGATTTTCTACGACACGAGCTCCTAACCGATCTAGCTTTAATAGACACTTTCCGAAAGTCAGCGTACCCACCCTGTGCAGAGCCACAATGCTCTAATGGTGCCACTACACAGCTTGTTCACACCAAAAAAGTGAAGGTGTCCGAAACATAGATCAGAAATTGGAAAATATGTTGTCCGTTTACGCCACCTTCGATTAACAAAATCGAGGGTGCTTGATTTAGACGAGCGTGATCTCATATCACCGCTATTAGAGCAACGATATTGGTGCTTTCGGGACAACCACGAGCCGATTGTAACTTTTGAAAAGGGTCCATTAGCCGTTAGCTGATTATACAGCAGGAGTTTAGTCTACCAGAAACGTGGCGACATTGTTACCCACTGCAGATGAGAAATTTGGCCAGAGCAAATTCCCAGCAATAAGAGACTTGGTCCAGTTGCGCCATGTAGCTCCAGGCGCCGGTACCCTGCAAAATTTTCAATGAGAAAATTTAATTTCTCGCGATAAAATGAAAATGAGGGCACTGTTACCAAAGCGACTCCAGAGATAAGTTGTTGATGGGCGTTTACATCGCCTCAGCAGAAAAAAAAAAAAGTGCCTAAGAAAGAGTGGAAGGTAGTCCCAAACGCGATTGAAATTCTGCTCAATCTGTATCGGAAATCTTGCAAGAGAGACGAACTTTTCCGAATTAAATTTATCTAGGCAGACGCCTGAAGAATGTAAACGTTGATCAAGAAGCCCGGAACTATGGCCACCTCTTTTAGCCAGCTAGGTTCACGGCATAGTATAATTCCGAAAAGTTCCTGAACCCATTTTGCGCGACATACTCCACGAGCTGCACCGAAGAACCGTACTCGGGGTCTTAAAGGCCGGCGACCAGACTCGAGATTCTGCAAGGCAGAAGATCCTCCTCACCATGGGGGAGGAGGAAACAGGCAACGGTGGACAGAGTAGAAGGGGGAGAGGAGGAAGCGGGGAAAAGTGGAAAGCGCGAACTGGTCGTCGGCCTTTAAGCAATGTTTACGCACCTCCTGTTCTCTGCGGTGTGGAGCAGTGGTTATCGCGCCAGGCTTGCATTCCGCTGTCCCGTGTTCAAACCCACTTAAGTTTTTACTTTGTTATGTTCATCACGGCGCTATTGTGGACCATCAAGGCGTAAACAAACCATAACTTATTTTTATTCGTTGCGCTATATATATATATATATATATATATATATATATATATATATATATATATATATATATATATATATATATATATATATATATATATATATATATATATATATATATGTATATATATATGTGTGTGTGTGTGTGTGTGTGTCTTCTTTCCCGCGACATCACCTTCACAACATTACATATATATTATATATGGTGAAGGTGAACTCGCGGGAAAGAAGGCAACGAAGGCAAAAACGGAGAGCGCTCGCGACAGGAGTTGGAAGCCTACGAGCAAACAAAGCGTACGTCCAGTAAATGAACATGCTGTAAGCGTGAAACGCTACATTAGTGTCAGAGGTGGAGCTCTGTTCCGGTCGACGTTTTCATTGAATCCATTTCCACTTCTGAGGGAGAACACACCGCGAGTGCCAGCGCCGGAAATCTGGCTGCCTAGAACCCGCCAGCTTCCCAACTTGTGGCCCTTATGAGTACACTCTTAGTCCGGTTACGCCGAATGAAGCGGCTACAGCCTATTTAGGCATGACATACGGTGGATTTCGGCATGACAAGAGAGTGACCCTGAAAGTAGCCATGACATTCCAGCGTTTCCACGTCATCCTAGACCACTTAGGCGTTACATCATTTATAGCCGTGACATTAAGAGCTCTTCACATCATTGGCGTTACAAGCTGTTTGTCACGCCAATAATGTAACGCCGATAGAACGAGTAACGGCTAAATTCAGAGCACAAAAATAATAAAAGTACAATTTCAAAGTTAGGGTCTCGCCGGAGGCAGCGTCCGTTGGCCACGAGCAAAACAAACCCACAAAGCGTCGGTCCCGGGGGGGAGGCACTCACTTGATCGAATGACGTTTTAGCGAACGCCCACGTTTCATCGAACGACACTTTAGCGAATAGTCGGACGCCGCGAAGCGGCGTTTTCGGGTGGGCCAAGTGAGTTCATATTTTTGTAATGAGTTGCCGTAGACTGTCGCCGCGAAGCGGCGTAAAGCGCAGCGCGACGGATGGGTTAACGCGCGCCCCCGCTATTCGCTAAAACGACCATTCGCTCAAATGTCGCCGTTCGCTAAAATGTCATTCGCTCTTGTGATATGGACCCGTCCCGGGGCCCGAGCACGGTTGACCTTGAAGGTCTGGCGCGAGAGCACTCGGGTTAACGACAGCTAACATGACGGAACGTGTTAAGAGGGACCTCACCATTATACTTTTTTAGGGGGAAGGAGGGGGCGGGGGAGTAGGCGACTCGGCGATTTTTGGACTAACCCACGACTTCTTTTTTCTCCACGAGAAGTCGCGCAACGGAATGTCGGACTCGGATTCGGTGCCTCGCCGCCTCGCCATTGTCTTTGTCTCCGAACTTACGGACCGGAAGGTAGAGTTGCGCTGCAATGTTCACGTCCGCAGACATTTGTGGCGTAGTGCGTGGCCATTGTCGCCATGAAGGTTGCGAATGTCAGGAGTTTATTAGAGAGACAGGTGGCCCCAGTGGAAGTGGGAAC